ATGCCACTTATGCTCCTCTACAAGATGGCGTAGTCAAATTTTCAATTAGAGGTTTGTTCTGTTGACTTTCATCACCAACTTTGTCTTTCATATCGACGCTATATTGGAATTTTGTCATGGGACTTTTCATTCCTAAATTCAGTGATGACCATGAATTTGTTGCTGGAGCAAAAATTATAAGGAAATAAGAAGTTGGTGTAGGTGGCGACTGGGTTATTAATAGTAAACTGAGATTCCCAACAGTTTCAACTGATAGATGGCGAGTTATCTTATTTTGATAAACCGGTATAGAGGATAGTTGCCCTCCTTTTTATTCGTTTGTCCAGAGACAAGAGACCAAGTCTAGACCATGCAGATGATTAGCCAAGAAGCTAGAAACAAATGTCCATGGTTGGTTGTCTTTTTGGTCGAACGTACGAAAGAGATCTAGTTCAAAAAGGACATAACCTCAAAACAATTTGGTATACATGTAAGCTTAATATTTTGTTAACACAGCCTACTAAGATCACTTGTTTTCCTATCAACAGCCTCCGTCAAATAAGCATCTGCAGCAGGGTCAGAGACGGAACATAAGTATCAACCCTCGTACTCTGCAAAGTCAGAATTGGAAATGAAATTTATTATATTATTAACGATTGACAGAGGAACAGAAGCTGTTCAATCCTATTACCATACACAATATTTATTTATTGAATAGCCTACCATTCCATGGCAAGCTATTATTTTTTATTAAAACAGAACCAATTATTTGTTATAGCTGCTATAATGCTTGTTGTTGGTAATACTTTTTGTTCCCAACATGCCGGATTCATATTAACCGGCCAATTATATTTGATCGATTTACAAAAATAACTAATTGTAAAATTTTTTAGTATTGCTTTTATGGTACATGTTTTAATTTTTTATTTTAGTGACTGACTCGTACAGATGCAGCTTTTTTGCTCTTAAATGGGAAAATCACTATCAAGTAAAAGAAGTTATCTATATGGCTACAGTCTGAGTAATATGAGAAACCTCGAAATATAGGATTTGAAGTGCAAAATTTCTATATCGTATCTTGTTGTTAGAAGCGCATTAATCCTGCTATAAATGGATAATTTAGGGTACTTGATTTAAATATGACAACCAAAAAGACGTGACGTGTCATCCACCGCTTGGGGTGGCAACTAAGTGATATAGCTGAGTGCTTCCAAAACACAGTGCTTTACCTTGACTAACAAGAACACGAAGGTACCACCCGGCGGATCTCGTAGGCGGAGCCAGAATGTGTGCATGTTGCATGCACACGTGTTCCCTCGCCAGAGTTCGTGTGGCGTTCCCCTTTCCTCTGTATTCCCCTATAGCCCCACGGTACCCAATGGGTGTTTAGGCCTAAGGCCTTCGTGGTAGTTAGAGTATAAAGAAAAAGAGACGCCCTAGTGCTCATCTGGTTTCGATGGATGTACGAGTTCTGCTGAAGACATATCGCTTTTGACTGGTCGTAGTGCAGATCACCGAGAACTTGATTTATCACGAACCTATTCCTTCAATTGCAATAGCTGCCATTAAAAGCTAAGTTTTTTGTTTAAAACTAAGAAACACTTTTGTCCAGATAACCTTACACCAGATAGGACCAAGTCTCAAGTCCTGGTCACATGTTGGGATTTTGCCACCACGACCACATTGGCTAAGCTCCATGCTAGTTCGAGGAAGGCAGATCAATAACTCAAACGGACAGTTTCGGTACCGCTCCGCACTGGCAGCCGATCGGCGATCTTGCGAAAGGGGTTTTCTATTCAGGGCTCTCCACCATGATGGCGTCATGTTTTGAACCTGCCATATGGACCCGCCAAGTTTCTCTAACCTTAGACAGTTTAAAAATCGGATACATAAGGCGCCTTTAAGATTATTTTAGCAGTTGCGATGGCCCGGTATTTAGGTTTCTGCGTACGCGACTATCTTGGTAAATAAAAATAGATCGTAGAGTACAGGATGTGTTCTAAAACTTTCATCAAATTAACGACGAGATGCAACCTTTATACTAAGATATAAGATATATACGGGGTTAGATGGTGGAATAGCAGGTGCTAAATCTCGCTCCATGTAATGTACCATGTTTTGGTCAATAAAGACGATTATTATTATTATTATTATTATTATTATTATATATACCCATGTCTAGGGTGTCATTTAAAACAATCGGTTCGTACTAACTTGATTAGGAATAAATAGTAGGTTCACTGTTTCAATTATCAGGAGCATTACTGTTGACTGAAACACTGAAGAAAAACAGACAGCCCATCGCCGAAAAGGCGTCATTTGCAGTAGGAAGCAAGTAGGAGCGACTGAGAATACGACCCCAAGGAAAAATGTTTTTGGTTATGGATCGCTGTATGAAAGAGTTTGGTATGCGGGCGGCAGTAGCTAATTCAACAACAGATGAACTAGGAGGGGCCCCAACTGATAATGTAAGAGAGCAATGTGAAAAGTATGTGCACTACTTTCTATAAAAAAAGTCATTTATTTTTTTAGATTATTCCAAGACCATTGAGGAAAATTCGGGCCTGTACAATATCGCTTTTGGACATGTTGGGTTTTGTCTGGGTATAAATGCACTACGAATGGGGTATATATCTCATAATGATAATATATGTTTTATCCTACTTCCCGTATCCTCGTATTCCACCCCTTTTCTAAGAAGTACATTTTGAATGTATACAGAAGCAACATATTTTTATTATTACTTGTTTATATATAAGCCAAAGGCACCATATGTAACATAATCTATATAACTTGAAGGTTTCAGATTAAAAATTGTGTACAGTTCAATAGCAGCAAATTAAATTTGAATATACGAGGGATGTCTTTTAAGTTTTGCATATAGAAACATAGTAGGCGGCGCGGATCAAACGTCAGTAGTGAATCTTAACCTCACTCTTTAGTAAACTTAAATTCAAAGTTTCACAACAATACCTGCAGTGTTCTGACTACAGTGATTTTTTAAGTGTCACCAAGTCATTAGAAAAATGGAACTCAACCGAGAACATTTTCGCGCCATAATTTATTACAACTTTCACAGACAATTATCGCAACAAGAATACCTTGCTGAGTTACGGTCTATTTTCGGCAACGGAGCGCCACATCAGTCGACAATTTCCCGTTAGTATGGAGAATTCAAACGTAGATGGGTGAGTCTTAGCGACGATCCCAGGGTAGGTGCACCAAAAACGGCAGCCACCCAGGAAAACGTCGATGCTGTGCGCCGCAAACTCATCATTGAAGATAGACATGTGATATATCGCAAGATTGAGGTGTCCTTGAAGATCTCAAAGATCTCAGTTCAAAAAATTTTGCATGAAGAATTAGGAGTAAGAAAATTAGTTTCTCGTTGGATACCCCACCTGTTGACTGAAGAGCAGAAAGCAGCCAGGGTTAATTGGTGTCAAAAAACGCTTGACCGTTTCAATTCCGAAAACTCAAAAAATGTGTACAGCATTGTTAGTGGTGATGAATCGTGGATTTACTGTTATGAACCAGAAAATAAACGACAGTCGGCTGTTTGGGTGTTCCAAGGTGAAGAAAAGCAAACAAAAGCCATCCGTTCTCGAAGTGTTTCGAAAAAGGTGGTCGCGACATTTGTGTCAAAAGGGGGTCATATTGCAACAATTCCTCTAAATGAGCAAAGAACTGTTACTGCGGTTTGGTATACCACCATTTGTTTGCCAAAGGTCATCACCGAGCTTCGAAAAATCAACCCCGAAAGAAGAATCGTCCTCCACCAAGACAATGCAAGCTCGCACACAGCTCGAACAACAAGGCAGTATTTAACGTGTAATTATTGGACCATCCTCCATATAGTCCCGATCTAAGTCCTAACGATTTCTTTACTTTCCCGAAAATTAAAAACAGACTGCGTGGTCAAAGCTTCCAGTCACCAGAAGAAGCACTTGACGCATTTAAAATGCCGTTTTGGATCTGCCAGCAAACGAGTGGAATAAGTGCTTCGAAAATTGGTTCGAGCGCATGCAGATGTGTATTAATCTTCGTGGAGAATACTTTGAAAAACAATAAAGACATTTAAAACTACCTACCGTGTTGTTTTATTTCCATATGCAAAACTTAAAAGACATCCCTCGTAAAACTAGAATTTTTCATGTATGGGAGCGTATAAATATACTAAAATCAAACGATTATCCTATTTCGTCCCCCACTTCTTACAACCCCTACCTCCGAATTTCAACCCCTACAGTTACATTTCTGCAAAAAATCAGAACCCTCTGAAACGTCAAAAATTCAGGCTGAGCGATTTTTAGTTTTTTCGTTTTTGGATTTGTTCTCCGCGACCACTGGATAACATCCAAATTCTCGAAATTTTTCGCCATTACAATATATCCTCGTCCTAGTAGGAAGTAAGAATCAAAAAACATACAGAAAATGTATAAGTAAATAACACATATCGATATATGTCTGTCACATAAATAAACAGGCATTGAAATATAACATAAAACAAGACAATCATGGAAATAAAACAGACATTGAGATAACATAGTAGGTAATGATTAGAAAATACACAAATATATAAAATGGATAAAATTAAAAAAAAACGTATTGCATAAAAAATGTGGAAGTCTCATACGTTGTCGAGAAAATGTTCAAGGCGGTAAGACAAAACTAAAAAGCGTATGTCTTTAAGATTACACAAACACCCAGGTTAAGGTTTATCGTCCAGGTCACAGATTTTAAAACTGGCCATCACAAAATTGCTTATTCTGATGGTGCGTTGGGTGGTGCTGAGCAGGTAGGAAATTGGTTGCAATCTGCGTATTTTCAGAACTGTAACATGTAAAAGCGGGTACTACATATTCTTTTTTTTTTCTTGTCTAATCTAAAGTGGTTCTCAAAAATTTTCCAAACACCCTGTTTTGAGACATCATTACATCTAACTTCAGTGACAAAAGTACATCAAAATTCCCGTGTCACCTTCAACGATTCGGTTTAAAAATCTACAAAATTCCAGTGGAATGGCTCGAAAGAAGATGATCCCTTCAACAAAATCGAAATCAAGGACGCATATGAACAAACGGAAGTCACCAGGGGACCCGTTTTTGAATTTCCTTCAAAAATTGCGTAGAATGCCTCAAAAACTAACCATAAACGATATAGTCTCGAATGGCACCCGTGTTTGGAAATGTCTCGATACCAGAAAATTGCAAAATTTGAATATGGCTACGAAAGCTAGACGGACTTGGAAGAGGACAGAAACCAAACCAAAAAGCAAGAAGAATAATTCGAGGAGTCGGAAACGAAAAGAAGGCAAATGACGAGACATTGTTGTGACATAAATTGTGCTGTCCTGATGTGGTGTTGCTGAAAATTAGAAAATAAGTTTAAAAGAAAGTTGCCTATGGGAGGCTTTAAATACTGACCTACATGATTGCCTCAAAAGAGAATCCATCGGTGCTGGTCTGCTACTAGCTACAGAAAAGAAACAGCAAAAGCGGAAGATAAGCACTCATGAAATGTAATTTACAATAAATAAAGAATCGCAGGATATTTTCTATTTGTTCTTGTTTCCGCCATATCAACGTTGCATTAAAGATACCTGGTTCAGTTTTATGCGGCCCTGCACGGGTGTTACGTATCTTGAAAAGTGACGTTATAACGATATTTTTGACATTATACTGTCTTTTGCCATTATGTAGTCAAAAATGAGAGAGATAAGAAATAAATATTTACTGTACCCTGTTGAATTACGAGTACAAGCCATATACATGCTAACAGTAATTACTCACAATGCGGGCACGGTGGTGATTCCCGTAATTCTCCCTGAAGTTTTTCGTAATTGATAACTTTGAAGATAACCTCTCTTCAGAAAGCACAACACAAATAAGTCGTTGGGTACTAATAGATATACTTCATTGGCAGCATATTCAGTAATGATTTTCTCACACAGCAAATATCACTGATTTTATACACATGCAGACCAATACACATGATCATCCAGATGCGATCTTGCTATTCAACCAACTTTCTTCTCACAGATGAAGACTACAGGCCACTCAGCTTCACAAAACATATGCAACTAACAATGCATTCATTCCTTCATATATATGGCCTCTCACAACGATCCTAGTGAGCAAAGGTGGAATGACTGCATCCTAAGAACCTAGTCTGCAAGATGACATCTTGTAGGTTTCTTTTGATGTTTTATATTTTTTTCACATACGTTTTACATAAGTCCATCGGAGTTGGTGCTACTAGCTCTAGAGAAGAAACAGCAATAAGACAAGGCTTTCATTCGAGAAGCTCTCATAAAATGTAAATGTGCAACACAAAATGAAATGCAGGATTGCAGGAATAGAAGATATTTGTTTTTGTTCCCGCCATACCATTAAAAACGCCTAATTCAGTTTTATCGCTAACCACTAGAGCTATAATGGGTCTAGCTGTATAGGATAACTCTTTTTGGATTATGTGTCCACCACATAAATTCATAGTCGAACTGGATTAAAAAATGTTCATCGTAAAACTACGCGTTAAAATTGTCGTCACAGTCCGTTAAATAACAACGCACCAAGTTTCATAGTAGGACGAGAGTAGAGCTGACTTGATTTCTGGAAATAATTACTTTCAATAAAAGTTTGGCTTTTCATACTTCTATCCTAAACCACTGATCGACGTGTCCTTAATTGACTTAGTACCTCAGTCACTGCGGTCTGTTAATGACCTGTGGGTATACTTCTAAGCTAAAAAAAATCCATAATCCAAAAAATTCACGTTTTCTGTACCTGCAAGTGAACGACACTCAGATGATAATCCAGGATATGCAATAACCAAAAAATCTTATAATGTATTTAGGCGAGAACAGGGGAACCTTACTCTAACCACGTAAAGTATTTTCAAGAATGATGTTGAAAAGGAAGCTACCTAAAGCAAGATATCTTTAAACTTCTCTCCCTATAATGTAAGAAACTAGCACGAGAATGTGACGACTACTACTTCTTACACACTATTCACTTAGTTCCTCAGTAGATCACAAAAACAATGCTGTATACGGTTTGTCATTTTTCATAGAGGCGGAAAGCAAATAGTGACGAGCCTTAGAGTTCTTTTGGGTGCACTAGCTCAATACCTCACGTTCATTATGACTAACTAGTTCTAGAAACTAGTAATAGTCCACGTAAACTGTTGCTCACATAGTAGATGAGCTATGAGATGTACACGTTTACTAACAACCTTAAATAATGTGGGATACCTTTTATGTTTCTACCAGTTCATAAGATTTTTATTGAATAATACACTTTCGGAAGAACGGTCCTCTTTTTTAGTATCGCCGGCGAATGACAAGAAATATACTAGAAGCCGATGTAGTTTAAGAAATGTTTTTAAATGGAAATCGGTAGTTACTTTGCATTTCCATTTTAGTGTCGTTTAATTTCTTCATTAGCCTCAATGGACGATATGCTATATGGTTTCACCTAATTTTTATTTATTTCAGCCCTTCTAACAGCATTTTTTATCCTATTTTATATCCTTGAACTAAACCACGATCGTGTCCAGGCAACCAGTTATACAACGTTCTGCTTAACTGGTTGTCTACGGTTTTGTACCGTGTTCTTTCTCGTTCTCATTCATTCACTCACAGCTCACTTGTATCATCGAGATTCTGTTGTACCAGTTGTTTGTGGTGATCGAGTGAACGAATTTGTCTCTTGTAGTTACAAGCCAGCTTTCTGAGTTCAGTCATAAGAATCGTTCGTTTAAACTACGTAACACTAAAAGCAAACAGATCAAATTCGAACGACTAGCAAAAATTATTATCTACCTTCTTTTATTTTCAGTTTGTAATCGGACGTATTACGGAGACGTAGGGAAAACGTACGACCTGAAGGTACTGAAGGCATCAGACTCAAAACTGCCCTTTCTCTGCCACCTGACGTTCACAGCCAACGGACAGAGCCATGGAGATATTGTGCAGGTAAGTTATTTGATAGTTACGGTATTGATAGCCCAAGTCGTAAAGCCCCTGTGTGGGGGGTCAACCCACATAAACGCTTATTACGCCTAATGTTCAATATCAACGTTTAATTTACCGTTCTTAATATTGTGGTTTTTCAGATAATTCTGGTATTTCTTGTGTTTAATTGGATTTGGGATCTAAAGAAACACGGCCCCCTACTACAAAGTTGCCAACGTTTCGGAATAATTTATTTCCTTCCTCAAGGCTCTACAAAAATTGAAACGCTAACTTTGAATATACATTCAAACAATTAAATCGATGTAAATGATACTTTTAAGACATTATATACGTATAAGATGAACTATCAAAACATACAAAAAATTTGATCAAGAACATGAAGAAATCTCAATATATAATATAATAATAGTAATAATAAAAACGTTTGTTGAGAAACAACTCAAAAGGAGGAGAGTATTGCATAAACATTTTTCAACCCTTCCGTAAACATAATATAAATAGATAAATTGCGAAAGAGCAGATTAATACTAGACATCAGCCAAATATAGTTAAATAACATAGTTAACACATTACAACCGGTAGATAAGAGTACATTCTACACTTAAACTGTATTAATGGGCAAGTAAATAACTACAGAAAAAAACGTATAAATAGAGATAGATAAGGTCAAATAATAGTGGTCTAATCATTTTAGACCAAAGTACAGCTGGTTTGCGAAATAATTGTAAAGTCTGGTTTTATTGCTGCAAGTTGTTCAAGGGGCTATTTAAAACATGGACGCATAAAATGAGTACATCAATTCTTGTGGGAAAACTTTTTATTCGACAACAAAGAATGAGCAAACCCATTTTATGAGATTCAATCTAAAGTGTTGGCAGGAACGAAAAACCTTTTTATACAAGATTTTTTGGTATTTATGAGACCTACAAAATGAGACCACACGTAATTAGATTTCCCTAATTCTGAAAAATTTATGGCCGAAAACCGAGGCAAACTGCAGGTTTTGGCACTTGTTGGTAATGCAAAGATGGTTTCTCGCAGATACTTGAAATTCTTCAAATTCGTAGGATTCGTACTTTTAAATAACCACAACAAAATTGAAGTAGATTTTTCAAGTGGTTTTTGAGAATTTATAATTGTTTATCCCAAAACACCTGTTTTCCGGCCCTCACACATTTTATATCTAAATACACCAGCTTACCTTACCGATATGAACCGCAAACCATTCCGGAAGATAAATGTTACTTTTATGAAAAAAAGGATGGTTTACGTGTTTTCTTCTAAACAAATTCAAACATCTCTCGTATTTGTAAGTAATTCGCACCAAACGATGATAGACACATCCGCTTTGTTTTAAAATGTGTATAGTACCGTATGTTTATCGAACATCGCAGCGCATTTGTTCAATTACTCACAAATACGAAATATTTGAATTTGTTTAAAAGAAAAAACGTAACCTTTGTTTCTCGCATTAAAATAACATTTATCTTTGGGAATGGTTTCTAATTCACACGGACAAGGTATGCACGTGTATTTTGCTATTAAATGCTTTTTGAACGAACTCTGTATATTGCTCAATAAACTAGTAGTGATGGCCGGAAAACAGATGTTTTGGGATAAACAATTAGAAATTCTCAAAAAACTGCTTGACCAATATACTCAATTTTGTTGTTGTTGTTATTTAGAAGTTTGAATCCTACGATGATGAAGAATTTCAAGTTGTTGCTTGAAATTGTCAAAACCTGCGTTTTGCCTCGTTTTTCGGCCATAACATTTTTGCAATTAGTCGGACCTTTTTACGTATGGCCTCATTTTGTAGGTCTCATAAATACCTAAAAATCTTATGAAAACAGTTTTTTCGTTCCTATCAAGACTTTCGATAGAATCCCAAGCAGCACGTTTTCTCGTTCTTTGTTGTCAAATAAAAAGTTTTCCAACAAAAATTGGTGTACCCATTTTATGCGTCCATGTTTTAAATACCCCCTGAACAACTAGTACCAATAAAACCAGACTTTACAATTATTTCTGGGAAATTGAGTATGAGTACATGTAACTGACACAATAACATCGTATCAGTACACAACTTTTTGCTTGTTAACAAGCAGTATTTTTTAAACCGTTGTATGAAATTTTCGTCAAATAGTTCAACCTCCTTGTTCAAAACGGTTGAAGCCATGTAGCTAAAACTACTTTCAGACTTGCTTGAAGAGTGCATAGAAATAACATATAAATTTAAGTGTTGTGTATTTAAATTATGAACATCAGATAGCCGCGTTAAATTGTTATAAAGGTAAGATGGTTTTTTGTATTTAGTCAGCTTATACAACATCGTACTGTATTGCA